TGTGCTCTAGTGCTTCACACGACAAACCAACAAATTGGCGTAGATTTCGTTTCCAGAAAATTCTGTGTGGTTGGCTTACAAATACGGGTACGACCAAATCCAAAGCTTTCACCCCAAAACCAATTAAGCCAGCAACCACTAAATCCCAGCGTCTTCAAAATCCCACAAAAAGGTGGATGTTCCCAAGGAACGTTGCCAAGAGGACCGCTGGTAAAATCTGCCAAGACTTGTTGTTTGCTCAACGTGCGAATTTAAAAGAGAACGATCCCTTTTCAGCGATTTGTTAGGTAGGCTTCAATATGAAAATTTTTCTAGAATTCCAGTTTTTTTCTTTAAGATGTCCTCTGGTGCCAGATTTCCGATCTCGACCAGGAAGACGGAACACCCAGTTTGAATCGGAACACAATCAGCTTGAAACAGAACACTACAAACCACAATGATGACCAACAAAACTCAAAGTTGTTATCAAATTCTCTCCCCTAACACCAATTAACACTAATTAATCACTTATACAAGTTATTAATCAGCATCTACTTAGTCTCCAGTCTAAAGACCATCAAAAAGACCGGTGAATGTTTAGGGATCACAGTTACAGTGACTCTATCTTACCCACAGCGTTCAAGTACGCCGGCAACGGTGCTGCCCGAAACGAATCCACAAGTGGCTTATAACCCCACAATATTTTTGAGGAAAATAAACACTTGAGAATGGAAAAATAAATGAAATAAAAGTGGAAAATCGATTTAAAGTGTGCTAAAGTGATTTGTGTTGTTGCAGAATTTTTAATAATGGAAAATACGAGATTCGTGTTGACAATTGATATTTATTTGAAAGTAAACAAACCTTTTCACCGACATTTAGGGCCTTTTAGAAAACTTTCGAAAGCTAAATAAAGTGGATTCCTATCCTAACAGTAGGGCTTTATTATCCTAAAACTACCCTGTCCTCCAAATACAAAGAATTCACTCATTATTACCTTGAAAAGTATACCTTTAATCAACAACCAGATATTGTTTCGCATCCAAACAAAAAGGTAAAAATCTAGCAAAATTCAATGAGCAACCTATCAATCACTGAAAAACATTAATCCTCAGGTAAACAGCTTTATAAAGACCCTCACAAATAACTGAATTAATTACTGAATTTATTCGAAATTCTCAATTACGTTAAGGCAAAATTTTAACGTAACAAGTTGGCGTCAACCAATCGACAGTATCTCGAGTGGTTGCAAGGTACCATGAAACAGGAGGGTATAAGAGAAGAGCAGTACCAGGCCTTCCGCGAGCAACTACGTCCGCAGACCAACATTTTTGACGCTACAGTCTCTACGTCGAAGACATGTTACTGCAACACGACTTCAGGAAGGCTTAGCTGCGGCTCGGAATGTGAGAATATCTTCAGAAAGCGTCAGACAAATCTTAAGGCAGTCTGGTCTTAGAGCTAGAGTGGCTGTCACTGCCCCTCGTCTCACCAGGCAGCACCGTGTAGCACGGTTAGCATTTGCGAGAGAACATGTAAACTGGAATGCCAATGACTGGGGTGATGTACTTTTCACAGACGAATCAAGATTCTGTTTATACACTTCAGATCGACGAATACGTTATAGACGAGATGGAGGGCGCTACTTCCAATGGAACATCAGATCCTCGACCAATTTCGGGGGAGGTTCTATTATGCTTTGGGGAGGAATATCTTTAAGGGCTCACACGGAATTAGTACTGCTACGTGGAGGTTCCGAACTGCTGACAGGTACATAAGAGACTTCTTGGAACCACATATTGTGCCTTTCGCCCCATTCATCGGTGATGATTTTCTTTTAATGCATAATAATGCTCGGCCCCATGTAGCCAGGATAGTAGCTGAGTACCTTCAGGAAGTCAATATTCGGGTTTTAGATTAGCCAGCGTGTAGTCCAGACTTAAACCCGATAGAACATGTTTGGGACCATTTATACGGAAGGGTTGGAGCTGGAAACATCCTTGCAGACAATCTTCAGCACCTTCAACAACTTTTGACTGTTGAGTGGGAAAATATGGACCAAGGGTATTTAGAGACATTGATCCGAAGCATGCCAGAACGTTGTCGAGATGTGATAAGAGCTAGAGGAGGAAACACACGATACTAAAATCATCCGTCATATTTTTTCTTCCATTTTTGAATTTGATTATGATTTTGATTTTGAATTTTTATGAATTTACGTATAGTTGGAAAAATAAATGAAAAAATTGCATTAATTTTTTTATTCAGTTTATCTAAGTGTCTATAGGTCCATTAAAATTAAAAACATCAATACCCATCAATAAATATTAATATTTATTTTTTAATGTTAAGAAATCGTAGTGATGCGATACTTTCTTGGCGGAGTGTATATATATCAAAGTGAACTTTATGCACCGCTGGGGATTCTCGTGAACAATTGGAGCTATTGATGGCTTTTATGTAGCATTTTTAACCTTTAATGGCTACGGAGTGGTCTGTCAGACACCTCGCGAAAATCTTTTCCAGTTATTTTGAATATCCTTGTGTTTTGAGGGGCGGGGGTTTGTGTACCTTCCAGGGGATCGCTCTCCCACACATCAGTAGTGCGAGAACCTCAATGGAGTGATTAGTGCTGTTTTATTCGATCCCAAAGATAGATAGTGGTCTGCTAGACCACAGCGTAGCGATTAAGTAAGTATTTTTTTTCTGATTATATTTTCATTATTTTACATTTCTAAGAAACTAAATATTTATATTTTAGCATGGCTGGTGTTCCAGGACCTTCGAAAATCATCCAGATGACCCAAAGTTTCAAGGATAGGCACAAAATCTTGTTGAAGAACTTGAAAACGAAACAGATAGCGAAGACGACTTGGATGCTGATTACTTGGAAAGTGAACACGGCACTCAAAGTGAAGAAAGCGCCTCAGAAAGTGATCAAGCAGACATTATAGATGAAGAAGAATATTATCCAGGAAAAAAATAAGTTTAGATGGTCAATTGTTTTTTTTTGTCACTTTTTTGTTTAGGTACTCCTACCAATGTGCGAACAAGGCAACATAATATAATTGTTACACTCCCAGAACTCAAAGCGGGTGCAAAGCATCTTGGGAATTGTCCAGCTCCTGAGGAAGTATGGGGTGTATTATTATAAAAAAATTACCGACGCACAAAATAAATATAAGGATTCATCCCACCCAACACTTAGGCCTTCAGATAAAGTTGAAATGAGAGCGTTTTTGGGTCTACTCATTTACACTGCAGTTTTCAAATCCGGAAATGGAAATCTGGATTGTCTGTTTGCCACTGATGGAACAGGCAAGGACGTATTTCGTTGCACGAAGCCAAAAAGACGTTTCGAGTTTTTGCTTTTCTGTCTAAGATTTGATAACGCAGAAACAAGAGATCAAAGGAGAGTTATTGATCCGGCTGCGACAATATCAGCAGTATTTCGAAGACTGATAGAAAACTTTCCAAGATATTACAGCTTTGGTGCCAATGTGACTGTAGTTGAGATGCTTATACCATTTCGAGGTAAATGCAAATTTAGAATGTATATGCCAAACAAGCCGGCGAAATACGGCATCAAGATTTAATGTCTAGCAGATGCTAGGAATAATTACCTGTATAACGCATACATCTATACAGGAAAGGGTTCTGATGGCCACACGCTTTCGGTCGAAGAAAAAAAGTTTAGTATCCCCACACAATCGGTTATTCGTTTATGCAAAGGATTAGAAAAATCGCATCGGAATGTAACGGGAGATAATTGGTTCAGCTTTATACAGCTTGTTGAAGAACCCAAAAAAAGGGCCTGACCTACGTAGGAACGTTGAAAAAAAAAACAAAGCAGATATACCACCACAGGTTCTCCCTCATAAATCAAGAATAGTAGGTCCTTCCTTATATGGATTCCGTGGAGATTTAACGCTTCTGTCGCACGTTCAAAAAATATCGAAAGCCGTATCACTTGTTTCGTCCATGCATCACACAAAGTCAAATACTACTGAAGGCACAAAGCCTGAGATCATAGAATATTTCAACAATACAAAGGGGGGCGTTGATTCTTTGGACAAAAAATGTGCAGCTTATAGGGCCAGCAGAAGGACTCGCCGATGGCTGATGGCAATATTTCTTCAGATGTTAGATGTTAGCACGATAAATGCATATGTTATGCACCAAGCTATAGAGATGCTCGTAACTTGGAACGCATGGACTTTTTGAAACACAGCCAGGACATTAGTATCTCCATTAATGGAAAGACGATTGCAAAGTAAAAGAATACCTAGAGAACTGAAACTCTCTTTGGAACGAGTTCTAAACAAAACCACTGCAACAATCGAAATAGAAGCTGAAGAGGAGCGTCTGGAAACTCGACGATTATGCTATATTTGTCCATCAAAATTAAGAAAAAAGACTCAATATTTATGTATTGCTTGTAAAAAACCAATTTGCTTGCAATGTTGCAGTAGCCTTCCACACAAGTCAAAATGAAATAAATTACTTATTGGTGTTTAATGCCGTAAAGGAATCATTAGAAAGAAACACTGAATTATTATTTTCGCCTCCTGTTGTAATGACTGATGATTCAACAGCACTGCGAAATGCTCTTAAAGTGGTATTTCCGAATAGTACTTTATTACTATGTATTTTCCATGTAACTCAGGCGCTATGGCGTTGGCTCTGGTTAAGAGACAACAACGTCCCAAAAGAAAATCGTAAATTGACAATGAACTTGTTCCGCGATATTTTATTTTCCATTACCGAAGAAAACGCTGATGATTGTTTACAAAGATGAAAGACCACGATGCTGTAAATACCATTGATTATTGTGGTTATCAATAGGTACTCCCTGATTTTAATTTATGGAAAAAAATTTTACGTACTTCCATACGAATTTTTAAAGATATCGTCCTTCAAAGGTGTAAAGCCTTCAATATGTGGCTGATTTTGTGCTTAAGACATTCGAAATATATCACACAAAAAGACTGCTACATTTTACTAATTCGAGATCCCGAAAAATGACACTGGAGTATCACAAATTTTTGGAGAGATCCAAAAATATAACAGAAGTTATACAAGTTGATGAAAAAACATTTAACGTTCAAAGCGAACAAACATTAGAGCACTACGTAGTTGATAGCGAAATTAGATTTTGCACTTGTCCAAGTGGAAGTGGTGGACGCTTTTGCAAACACCTACTAGCAGTTGAGAATAAGTACGGTATTATGTTCAAATCTTCTTTGCCGCTGTCTGAAAAGGATCGCCAACAGCTTGTATATCTGGCTCTAGGAAAAAAAGTTCCACTTTCTTTTTTTGAAGACATCAGCGCACCTGCTCATGAAAAATCATCAAATGAAAACACATCTGACCAAACTGCATCTGAGCAAGTGAAGCTGGGTGTATCATCTCAGTTCAACATGCCTATTGACCAAATGGATCTTGACAATTACAATAACATAGTCTACAAAATAAATTATCAGTTTACACGCATTGGTCAGGTTTTACAAAGTGATGCAAATACGAGCCATATACCACAGTTACAGGTAAGAATTTCGAGACCTGATAATCAATTACTATGTAGAATCTACAGAAATACAAATACAAAAGAATTACAAAAAAATACAGAATTTTGCCGCTATACTAGAAACGCTACAGACCCCATCACAGATCATGTCATTTGTGTGTCACAAAACAGCCGGTAGGACATCAAAAGCTAGAGGTATTTCAGGAGGAAGGATTCAATCTGGACGTCCTGCGAAATTAGAACGCCAAGGCGCCAAGAAGCGATCTCACAATATAGCCTTCAATATTGAGAATAATTTACAGGGTGCCAAAAAACATTAATAAACGGTGCAAATAGCACCACGCTTACAGGTAAGAATTTCAACACCTATTATGAATTAGTAAATAAAAATTGTTATATCTGCAGAAATTTTCCAGAGAACAAGCAACACCTATATCTCAAGCCGAAAAGCTAGAGGTACCTATTTCAGCCAAGGTGGCAAAAAGCAACCGTATAATATAGCCTTTGATACTAAAAATCATTTACAATATGATAAAAAATAATAATAAACTATGCAAAAACCTATATGTTTTTTTTACGCAAGAAAACACCGGCTGTAGACACGGGCTGTACTGAAGTAGTATTTCCGCTTGTTTTCTCAGCGTAGTAGTGAGCAATCCTACTCCAATACGGCGCCATCCGATGACATATTTAACAAACGGGATTTGGCAATCTCTTCAACATCCCCACAAACAATCGCTACCAAGTACTTGAAGTCCCAGAGCCAGACCCAGTACCGCAAGAGGAAGGTGCAGATGCTGCAGCTGCACCGGAGCTCAATACCTCCAAGGAGGAAATCAAAAATAAAGTGGCGGAATCCGCTCCACCAAAAACAGGCCCCACGGGTAAAAAAGCCCTACCCCCCCCCCCCTATTGTAATCAGGGGAAAGCTAGGGAACCATAAAACCTTCTTGGATATGGCCTCTAAAATTACAACCGAGCAAATCGAAATCAAGTACGCCAGAAACTCTGTGATCGTTTACCCCAAGAACATGAACGATCACAGCAGCATGGCCAGACATCTTAAAAGGGATGGAGCGGTCCAGGCGCCTAGGCAACCCCTACGACAACCACCACGCCAGATCCAGAGACATCCGCACTTCGAATACGAAAGAGGCTTTCCTCGCGGCCCCATGAACAATAGTGCCCGTGATGTGCGCGAACAACCAATAGTGCGTGGTATTCGCGAACCATTGCCAGGCAGTTCTGGCAACCAGACCTCTTCCAATCTTGTTGAAACGTTCTCGACGTTTCAATCCAAATTTGCCCGCCTCGAATCACTAGTCAATATGGACGGCATGATGCGAGCATTGGACTGCTACATCGGCATGCTCGAAGGGTGCAATGACGACGCGGAGTTGTTTAACGCCAGTCGCAACTTCTTCTGCTCCGAAATCAACAAATTCAATATTAGTCGCGTTCAGGGTCGTCCATTGGAACGCTAACAGCCTCAACGGCAAAGTAGGTGAGCTCATCCACTTCCTTCATCACGAGAGGATCGATATCGCCATAGTCGTGGAAACATGGCTAGGGGATGGAGATCGTCTCGTGGTGAAAAACTACTCCTGCGAACGCTCTGACAGAGCCGGCCGCCGCGCGGGTGGTGTGGCGATATTGATCAGGAACTCAATCGCATACAAGCGGATGCCACAGTGGCAGAGTGCCATTGAGCACGTGAGCATCCAGCTTGCGAATGGCGTCCTGATCAATGGCTGCTACAACGCCCCGCAGACCCGTCTGTCAGTAGCCCACCTAACTCCATTCTTCCCCCAAAATTCTCGCTCATTGTTGCTTGGAGACCTAAACGCCAGACACAGACTTTGGCGGAATCATAGAGGAAATACCAACGGTATGATCCTAAATGATTTCGTCAACGACCGGCCGGAGTTGATACTCCTCAGTACTGACACGCCCACCCATTATCCTAGCAATAACATGACACCCACTTACATAGACATTGCAATCAGCAAAGGACTCAGGGAACTTTCGGATCTTGTAACGATCAACGCCCTGAGCTCGGACCATCTACCCGTCTTTTTCACCTGGGGCGAACTTGATCCTCCCCGCCCACAAGTTCGCCTGAGTTATAAAAACTTCAACTGGCCCCTGTTTCGGCAGAATCTCAACACCCGTACCCAAGTTCCTGGTCAAATTGACACCGTGGACGCTCTTGAGCAAGAGGTTGCAACCTTGACCAGGAATATCCAGCAAACCCTAACTCCTTTTGCTAACCGGGTAACTGTCCATCAAGGACGTGACGAGCTCTCCCGAGAGCTCATAGATCTTATTTCACTGAAGAATCGCACCCGGAGGAGGTGGCAACACCTCCGAAGGGACGAGGATCGCCAACGAGTTCGGGAACTCGAGGGTGCCATTAAAAATGGCATCAGCGAGCTCCGGAACCGTAGATGGACCCAAACCCTCCAAAACCTTCATCCTCAAGACAACTCTCTGTGGCGCCTTCAGTCTAAAATGAGGTGGCAGCCTGTGCGCACCCCTGCAATTACTAGTAATGGCAGGGATTGCGTCACTGCCCCAGACAAGGCGGAAGCTCTGGCTTCATTCATGGAGAGTATTCATTCCGGTCTCCCACCAAACTCCCCTGAACAGGAGGAAATCGAGCGTACAGCGACAGCCTTTGCTATTCGGAAGTACCCCATCCCCCAGCACTTGCTCGCTGAACTTCTTGTCACCCCTGGCGAGATGACTAGCATCATCCGCAGGCTCCCCAGCGAAAAGGCCCCCGGACCAGATGGCATCCCATATCGAGTCCTCAAAAATCTCCCGCGTAAAGTTATTGTCCAGTTAGTACAAATAACAAACGCAATCCTAAAACTTCAGCATTTTCCTTTTCAGTGGAAAATGGCAGTGGTGGGTATGATCCCCAAACCTGGAAAAAACCTTACACTCCCATCCTCTTACCGCCCAATCTCCCTTCTAAACTCCTTTGCCAAGCTCGTGGAGAAGTTAATCCTGGCCAGGGTCAACAGGATCGTCGAAAACTTCTCCATTCTCCCAAACGAGCAGTTCGGATTCCGCCCCCGTCACAACACCTTGCAGCCAAAATCTGCTGCGACGTCTTTCAAGGGTTCAACAGGCGCATGAACACGACTCTTTTGCTCCTGGACATGGAGCGCGCCTTCGATAGGGTCTGGCACTCAGGCCTTATCTATAAACTTCTCGCTACTTTCAACTTCCCATTACACATCATCTCCCTGATACAGTCATTTATCAGCGGCCGCACTTTCTGCGTCAAACAAGAAGACGCCCTCTCAAATTCCAAACCAATTCAGGCCGGAGTGCCGCAGGGGTCGGCACTCAGTCCGCTGCTGTACTCTCTGTACACAGCGGATATTCCAAAATTCCAGAATACAAAACTGGCTCTGTACGCGGATGACACCGCTGTTTACGCTCAATCCTTTTACACCCAAGCAACAAAATTTCAACTTGCCGATCACCTTGCAATCCTTCAACCTTATTACGATAAGTGGAAGCTTGGTTTTAATGGTCAAAAGACGGAGCTCATATGCTTCCATAAGAAGCATACCAATAGGACCATGCCCACCCCACTTATCGTCAATAACATCCCTGTCACTCTGTCCCCGAAAGCCAAATACCTTGGAATCCTTTTCGATCAGAGAATGAAGTTCCACCATCATGTTTCCCACGCCTTGGCTCGCACCTTCAGTGCGCAGCAAAAACTCTATCCTCTCATCGGTGCCAACTCATCCCTATCTCCAGAAAACAAACTCCTCATCTACAAGCAGGTCCTCAGACCTATGATAACCTATGGGGCCCCTGTCTGGAACATAATCTCAAGAACACAAAGAAACCGCCTTCAGCGGTTTCAGAATCGCATTCTGAGGGGAGTCCTGTCGGAGTCCAGGTACGCCAGAATTAGGGACATGCATGCGCAAGCATACATTCCCTATATCTCTGACTACCTGGACGAAATCAGTGACAAATTCTACAGGAATCAGACCAGCGGTTCTCCCCTCACGCAAAATCTCACCGCAACGAGATATGATCCAGACAACCCCATAGTCCACGGCCCCCCATACAAAAATCTACCGATATATTTCGAACCCCCTTAAACCCAGGTAATTTTTGTAATCCCTCCAATCCTCATTCTCTGACACCCCACACAAACTCCTTCACTTGCACCAAACCGCTACCTATGACCCTTCAGGGCATCGGATTGGACTTGGTGCAGGGTTGGCGACCCCCTTCAATCCAAACCCGCGCTCACGCGCACATACCCTAGAGCTCACTCATTTGGTGTCGAGACTGCGTCCATTGGACCCCACTGTCTCACGAGGCACGACTTTTTTGTTTTTGTTTATTTTAAAAAAATAAGGTAAATAAAAACGGGTTTTTTCAATGTTTTTCCCGTAGAAGGGGCGCTGTGCGCTTAGCAACCCCTACTCAGAGCACCACCCAAATCTTCGAGCAGGCCGATGTATCGGCCCAATGTTTACCATTCGTGGTATAGGCTAGTGACGAGAGTCATACAAGTGACGTGTGAAGGCAACCTGGAAACGTCGAGTGCGAGGTAAAAAGAAAAGATGGGAATAGGGCTGCGTTGCCAGACCACCGGCAAACTACGCAATGCCATAAAGCGCGCCAGGCGCGCATGTGTTAACAACATGCTGCGCCATGTTGAGTGTTAGTTAAGTAGTCCTGTCCTAGTATTAAGTTAATGTTTTATGTGTTTAGTTTGAGGGGGGCCTAACCCCCCTACCTGAAATGTATTACATATGTAATTTTGGAAATAAAGATTTTGAGTTGAGTTGAGATGACATATTTGCACGATTATCGCGCAAAAACCCTAGTCTAGTTGGTCGCTGCATGGGAGACGTATTGAAGCAGGTTTTCTATTTACGCTGCTGGGAATATGGCAAATTATGATATTTTTTGACGCAGATACATCAATGCAACCGAGAATAAACAATATTTCGCAAAATTTTAGTTAGATTATTAAATAAATTAATAAATAAAAACTAAAAATTTAAACAAAAAATCACGTGATTGAAAACGCTCTCTGATTGGCTAAAGCCGATTTTGACGTTTTTGTTGCCACATGTAGAAATGCGAAATTTAAATGAGTCAATAAGGATTCTACCTATCCTTTTTTTTTTATAATGCAGTAAAGGACGAAAATAGTTTCTAGCTAGTGAAATGTGTAATGATTTACTAATAAGAAATTTGGCATCCTCGCATTTTTGTTGATTTTCGCGCCAGTTCAAAAATTTGATTTTTAAATTTTTTTTTTTTTTTTTTTTCAAAAATAGGCGTTTTTTTTCGGAAAAAAGTATACAGGGAGTGTTAGAATGACTAAAAGAATAATTTAAATATCTTTTTGAAAAATATGAAAGTGGCCCATTTGAGAAGGGGGGCGCCAGAATTGAACTTTGCCTCGGCATAAAATAGCTATTGGACCGGCCGTGTCTGCCGTGTAAAACATTTTTTTTTTCTCCGAGTGTTCAAATTCACACATGGACAT